AAACTGAGAGAGCCTCAGCATTTCTAAGTATCTACGAAAATATTTAAATGAATTATATCCCAAGAGTGATCAAATAAACTCTCCCCCAAGAAAACATAAAAAATTTATTGCCCCAGAACTTTCCTCTTTTTTTTCTTCTTTTTTTTTTCTTAATAAAACTGTTTTCACGCTGTTAAAAAGACAGCTCTTCTAAAACCAAAGGAAATGAAATGCAATTGTACGGCACAGAAGAACAGCAGAAATGTTTTTTAATGCAGGAAGAACTCCAAATTGGAGCACCAGACATAAATCTTCCAGGATAAAAAGGCACTGCTATATTCTGATGTTGTTGAATTCTATTTCTAAAACACTTCTAATAGCAGTTAACCTGTCTATTTCCTGGGGGGGGGGGGGGGGGGGGAGGGTCGGTTAGAAGACAGTTCATTCTACATATGATTACTTTTTTAAAAACTTCAGTAACTTTTAAAAAGCTTTTCCTATTTAAAAACACAAATACTCACACGATATTCCGAACTAAGAATAAACATAACGCCTTTCTATACTATTCCTTAAATAACGTGATGCATTTGTTCAGCTGTGCAATGTAGAGTAACACTAGTCTTTATGCAGTATTTAAACGTTCAGTTTCAGATCCTCAAGTGAATCAGCCCACCCAGCACTAATCCTAAAAAATTCTTCTAAACTAATCATGAAAATGTAGCTTTCTCATTAAGACAGAATATTTTCTCATAGTAAAAGAAACAAAATCCTCTTGTTTTCAGCCAAACAAAACCACATGGAATGAAAAGGCATTAAAATACCCATTGTATCCAGCTAGAAATCAAATTTTGAAAGAGAAGCTCACTAATCTTTGCAAAAACAGAAAAATGTATACCATTTTCACTAAATTAATGCTGCTCAGAGGTCTCTCTGTACAATAAATTGAAGTTCATAGAGTTCTCTGTAGCCTTAAATTTTATCAAAACATCTTATATAGTCTCAAATAAGCATTTAACTTTTAGGAAAGAGACATTATAAACCACAGAAGACAGATAGCTATGGAAACTGAGAAGCTTTACACAACTCGTTAGGTCAGGTTTGATGTTAATTAGCAACACAAGAAACACCCTCACCGTTACACTTGACTGAGACCATTCCAACCTTTACAGCTAAAAGGAAAGTTACTCAATCATACAATCAATATACACATTAAATGGTAATAAATGGTATTAAATTTGTATGGTAATGGTAATAAATTTGTATTCACTTTAACTTCAACTTATTCGACTGTTAGAAAAACTCCTTACTTCACTACACTTCTGCCTTTTCATTCCAATTCTTGCTTCTTTGTGTTCCCTGTCGCCTTCAACACTATCATTCAGCCTCTCTCGCTCACTATTAACCCTTCCATGTTAACATATAATCTTCCTCTGTACAGACTGATTACGCAAATCCTAATTTTGGATAATCTTAATGCAAATATTTATCATTGCCATCAGCTTTGCAAAACACCAAGCATGCTTGAAAGTGTTTTAATTAACTTTGCCACTTGTCATTCCCATCCTAATGCATCCACTCACCCATTACAGAACACCAAGCATGTACCTAAACTTTTTTCAGCTGAGGCTTTCAATTAAGAAAAGGAGCTGCACTGACAAGAGTACATTGGAAAGCTACCATCTTTTACAAAATGCTGGGAAAAGAGAACGGAGTTGGAAAACAGTGCCTGGAGGTTAAGACTTATATGCCTGTAGCATCTGTTTAGAGACTGTACTCCATCTTCTACAACAGAGAACCAACACATTTATTCTCTCCTCAGTAGTGGAACTTGACTTAGTGCCCAATTTTCACTTTGATTTCCTTCTGAGCAACCGTAATACCTTCCTGTTCATCACCAGAAAAAGACAGGCAAAGTAGACTAGTCAGTATTCCTTGCAGCATTTGAATGCCTTCACACAGCTCTGGAAGCAATTAGTATTTTCATAAAGACCATTTACTGTCACTTGGTAAACAACTAAAACCTTCTGCTCTTTGAAAGCACTTAGGTGCCCAACTTCTTCAGACTCCAGTTTGGCAGCATCGAGAAACAGATCTTATATGGCAGCAAACAAGCTGCCTGCCAAGGTTAGAAGACAGCAGTGAATGCACGTAATTTGGTTCCGATTTAGGGACATTTTGTAATCAGATTAATAAAACAATGGTTCTGGGGTTTTTTTAGTTTGTTCCTCCCCTCCTTGGGATTATTTATTTTTTTAATAAATTACATTTCTCTGCAACATAATCTCACATTATTCCCCTGCAGTAAGCACCATCTTCCTAATTTACATCCTTGTGTTCTTCTAAATTGTGACTGCTACACGTGGTAGAGATCTTGAATACAATCATCTCATATTGTGTTCCTCTTATAACAGAAAACAACATTTGCCTACCTGGCAAATTTACTGTTTGATCTTTGCAGAGAAGCTTGAAAAGCCTCCTTCCCAGCGTGCATATAAGCCTCTTCCAGGTAAGTGTCATTAAGCTACAGAAAATCTAAGATTTAATTCTAAGAAAGATTTCTAACCATTCTGAGTAATATGGGCAAGTACAAACAAGGCAGTAGCTACAACCTCTGCTACAGTTTTGTCCTGCATCTCATGCTGAAGAAGCATTGCAGTAAAAACTGACTGCAACTCAACTTAAGCCTCCACGCATAAGCATTTGAAATTAATTAATTATTTATGTTGAACTAGACGATCTGAGAGTAACAAGTTGATATTTTACATGGACATCAAAGCATCCCAAGTCATTAGTGTACCTAAACTAAATTATGATAATAATTGTAACTCCTCTATTGAATTTTCAAATTAACTTCAAAATGTTACTGGAACCTTGACACTTGATGATTACCTACTCCCACAGTTAAGCTGAAATTTGTCAAACAGATTTGGAAAGTGGGTATTAAAAACCATTTTCCAAATTAGTTACCTGTATAACTAATGGTATCTCTTTAGGTTGAAAAATAGGTAAAAATTCTAAAAATAAGAGTCCAGTATGTCAGAGCACGCACATCAAGTGGATAAATCGGAGAGAAATCAAAGTAAACAACGTAAGACTTCAAATTTCCTACATACACATGCTCAAATTTTGGCACATTTTTTATCTTTTCTTAAAACTTTAATTCTAGAACATATCAGTGAAAAAGCTACCCTTAATTTAGCTTTATTTGACATGAAGCTATCAACTCAATACGTGACAGTAGTCACTAACTATTTATGACTACAGTATGTTTAGATGGAGCATTGATTAGGAAGGTGAGACTGTGTAAAGTAAGACCAAGGTTAAGAAAGGGAAATTTGAATAAGATGAAATAAGTAAAATCCACAATCAAAAAAAAATAAATCCAATGTCCTAGAAAGTAACAGCCTTCTGTTTCAAGAACAGTTACGCTGGGTGAAAGCATCCATCTCACCTAGTATCTCATCACCAAAACAGGTCAGTAACAGATGCCTAGGAAAGAGTTCAAGATGATGACAATGACAATCCATCATCAGATTATTCTCCCCAACTACAACAAGCTACTCTTCTGTTTAAGGTGCTATCTCTATAACCATATGCAAGACAGATGTTTTTAACAATATCTCTCCGTTCTGCATGCCACATGTATGTCTAGAACAGGATTAACTAACATGAATCAATAGGAGACCACCGAAAGACACTGCTGAGACACTTCTCACCTCTTTTCTTCAATATCTTACTAGCACTCTCCATGGCAAAACCAAAACAGACTGGGTTTTCGGTGGTTATAAGAAGAAGGTATCTGCAGAGATGGTGAAGCCAAGGCAGTAAGGCTGGAGCAACCGGATCACTTCAGATCCAAGAGTTCAGAGAAATCTTTTTTCACCAAGTATGTGACTGAGGTGCCACCACAATGCAATAAATGTGAAAATGTACAATTATGAACAACTGCTGTACTGTAAAACCAGAAAGTGGCAGAAAACCACCAAT